AACAGCAAATAATATTCATAAGCAATTGATGTGTCAATCTCTTCAGGGAGAAACTTTTTATCTACAATCGAAAAGAATGATTTTGCTGAAGTATCTAAAAATTCAGCTACATACAGATCTGAAAATAATTTTGCTGGAGCATCAAAATTATTATTATGTAGAACCCTCAAGCATAATAAGCAATGTTGCAAAAAGTTTTAATATTTTAGCAATCAGTTTAAGCATCCTACATAATTATTTTGATGGTCTAATTGTGAAATAAGAAAATAAGGAGAAATATTGTACATAATGGCGATAAAACGTACTCGAAACAACCAATCAAATGTGGATCCAAATACACTCTTCTGCGTATAATAGCAGCAGCATTATACGTAACTGAAACAGCCAATCAAATTCACACTCCTACTGCGCATCCGCGAAAACGTTTCTTATTATAGGTCTAACAAAATTATTTTCAGCATCTAGCTAAAAATCTTTAGATATATTTCCGCAAAATTGTCCTTTCCGTGTATAAATCGAAGAGAAAGCTTAATTTCGTTTGCTTGTTACATCTATAATCCTTTATATATCCTTTAAAATGCGTTTTAATCGTGATAATAATAATATTTAATAATAAAAGTGAATAAATTTATAATAATTTTATGTGTTATATATGAATATTAGAGGAAATCGATGATACTTTGATTGTTTTATTTATTTTAGTTTCAAGGAAGCATATACTACATGGGCTGAAAAGTCCCGAGATTTTTTAATAGGTGGTGCCACTAGAAAATGAACATGATTCATTTCGAGAGGTTCATCTATCACTAGTTTATATATGAAGTTTCATGATCTTTCGTTCATTCGTTTACAAGCTACAATCATTTAAGTGGCGTTACTTTCGCCTTCGTAAAAAAAATGGAAAAACAGGAATATCGCATCTTGATCAAACATTGTTTTTTGATGGGAAAAAATTCTGGACAATCATTGAAATGGTTGCAGAAATGTTATCCCATATCTGCTCCTTCGAAAACAACAGTTTATCGGTGGTTTAGTGAATTTAAAATGGGTCGTACAAGCACCGAAGACGCACCTCGCTCTGGAAGGCCAAAAGAGGCTACGAATGCGGAAATCGTACAGCAAGTGCATCAAATCGTTTTGAGTGATCGTAAAGTGAAGTTGCGCGAGTTAACTGAGGCCGTGGGCATCTCAAAAGAACGGGTGGGATACATTTTGCGCGATGTTTTGGAGATGAAAAAGCTATTGACACAATGGGTCCCGCGTTTGCTGACCATCGATCAAAAACAGCAGCGTGTTGATGATTCAACCGCCGGTTTGGCGTTGTTACAGCGTAATCGAGCGGACTTTTTTCGACGTTTTGTGACGATGAATGAAACGTGGGTCCATTACTATACGCCTGAGTCCAATAGGCAGTCTGCAGAGTGGCTGAGAAGCCAC